GCATTAACAGTGGAGGTGTTTCGCGCCTGCGTCTTTTGTGCGGCGTTCTGGGCCAACTTGGCACAACCGCCCAGCCCAGGCGGCGAACCGCGAAATACCCTCGTCGTAATGCGATGACGATAGAGGTCGTTGGTTTTCAAAGCGTGAATGGTTGCATTGTTCATGTGATGTCTCAGACCCTGCAGATCAATTTCTAAGGGTCTTCTACACTAAGTATGATCATGTTTGCTGTGCCCGATTGATGACGAGAAAGGCGAAGTTTGAAATTGTACACCTCCGGCGCTTTGTGTTAGTGTCAGCGCTACAATACTTGCGATATTTGTGCCGGCTGCATTCCAGTACTGGTTGCTCAAGTGACCCCCACCCATCGTACGTTGTTGTTCATGATTTGGTATCACGGTCAAGGTACCACAAACCAGATATAAACGATGTGCATGTTCTTACATGAATGTGAGCTGCTCATTGAGTCCTGCCGATGATGACGCTGACACCCGACTTCATGATTTCACTTCAGCGGCAGGAGGTATCGAACCGAGCAATTCCCCGCACCTGCCGATTCTCCATGTTTTCAGAGGGAGATGCCTGCCCGAAAGACTAAAGTCATTAATTGATGTAGCTTTGTTAGTGCATCAGCAGAGTCTCCAGCTTCAAAGCCAGTATCAGTGTTGCATCCTTAATAGTAAGACACAGTCGCTAAGCACGCTCATGACAGAAAAGCTGAGACGCACCGACGGGCAGCACCGATAAGATAACGTCAACTTAGAGGTACCTAACTGCCTGCCGCATATCAACTCGAGGCAATCCATTTCACTCGCGAGTTCCAACCTCGCTCTGTCAGTTCCATATCTACAGTCCAATGCTGGTTTGTTTGTTAGCTTGGTACTCCTGGCATATTGGACGATATCCATCCCGAATTGTCCCAAACCTCATAAGGACAAATTTAATGGCTAAGCACGGATCGAAAAGGCATTAATAAGATTCGATAAGGAATATTCAAAGTGAGATTACGCTTTGATCATAGAACGAAACGAATCAATTAAATGTAAAAAGGCCTAGGGAAGTTGACCCAAGGTCTCGAGCTAACAAACAAACCAGTATTGGACTGTAATGGATGACAGCTCTCCCACGTCTTCTTGATGTTTTCATACAAGGGAGGTCCGGTATCTTCCTTTGTCTCTGTTCGACATTTTTTACCACGGAAGGGTATTATCCACCTACTTCTAGGCACGACTACTGTAGCATGGTCCGCCGCCAGCAGGAAACCCATGACTGTCGCACGGAGTCACGAGTACGGTGATAGCATCAACCCGACGAATGCCCATGATTCAATCAGGCCGTAAGGTATAGGATGAGACCTCCCGGCTGGTAAGCGAGGCTCTACAAGGGGCAGCATGGGACCGTTGTTGGGTTGGCAGAGCTAGGCCTTTGATATGGCACTACGACCGACTTCATCAAATGACACTCGTTTGAGATGTTGTCCAAGCGCCCGGAAACCATCTGATACTGAGGGATATTATACTGGCAGGTATTCGGGTTTCTGGGAAGCTGATCTCTCTTTGTCGTACGTTTCTAGGCCGAGCTCGGCATCTTGAAACACTGCTTCGGGTTCCGCTTCGTCACTATCGACTCATGCCCGTTCTCGACGTTACGACTCAGTCCCATTTGTCTCTCCTATATGAACTGGCCCAATGGCGGTAACAAAAGGAGCCAAAGTAGTCATCGTACATAATATCCCGAAGCAAGCAAAATATTCTGGTCAAAAGCAACTATCTACAGCCATGTCTTCCGCACCACGCAGATCCAATTCAACATGCCCGCGCCCCGGTAGCAGCGGTGGTGCCCAGGAATTTCCTCGTACACCATCCCGCAATAACAGACGGCGACGTAGCCAATATCAACAGTCTACACCGGAACGCCGGGATGATTGGAGGACAGATCCACGAGTTCAGCAAACACCACAGCAACGAACACCGCCGTCCTTCAACAGATCTGCATCCTCCGCTCAGAGAACAACTCCAGATGCTAGATCAGCACCACATCGACCCTCGGATCAGAGATCGCCCCCGAGCAACCCCAGATCAGCTCCTCGGCGGCCAGCAGCAAATAATCGGTCAGCTAATAACACTCGGTCTCCCCAATCCGACCCAAGTCCGAACAACAAGCCAGCACGGCCTGATGAAGCCGCAACCAAGACGCAGATGAATCAAACATTTTCGATTGCCATGATGACAAGCCCCGCCAACCCGTTGCCGTTCCCCCTGCCAATACCTCTTGGAATTGCTATGCTTCTTGTCGGTTCCAGCAAGAGCGGCAAGTGATGGGTCCGGAAGTTGTGCTGGGGGGTGGTTTCTCCGACACTGTTCCAATCACAGCATATGGAACCATATGTCCTTTCTTCCTTCGCCATCTTGTCCAACCTCAAGTGTACGCAGCTCAACATCGAATTTTAACCCAGATACCTGTACCGACTTTTTGTTCGATTCCTCGATAGGCGACTCGACCACGGCGCTTTTACCTCTCAATGCAGGAGCAGATTCTTTCTCCGCCGCTACTGCCTCCGAGTCCACCTCGAGTTTCATCTTCACCATGTCCCCAGCCTTCACCCGCTCATAACCACCTAGTCCAGAAGAACCACTAGCTCTCCTATCCGCAAGCTGCCACCGACCAAGAGTAGGACTAGGTTCCATCACCGCTTCCGGCGCCGGCGTTCCTTCCCTGGATGCGATTCTGAGCTCCAGCCCTTTCTGCATCTTCACACCCTTCCCCGACTCAGGGCGGGCAGAACGTGGAGGCTGCGGCGGCCGCCAGTCCTCTCCCGGCACTGCATCACCCGCCGGTTCAAACACCTCGCCCTCCTCCTCGTTCTTACTTTCTTGCACAATTCGACCTTGGCCTCCGACATGGCTGATACTCCCAAACCTTCTCCACCTTGCTCGAACACCTCCGTTACTTTCCCTCGGGGAGCATAGCGAAAGTACCCCGTTCCCTAAGCGAGCGGCGACTAGCTCGTTGATGGCGCCTTCTACGGCCTTTTCGAGACCGATCATGAAATGGGCTACGTCTAGTCCGTCGGCCATCTCACCGCGGTCAGCGTAGCTGGGCTGGGACTCATCAAAGTCCAGCTTCGACAGGCTGTAGTCGCATTTTGTTTCTTCGGCGTTATTTTCAGGTTGTTCCGCTGGGTTCTTTTCCAGTTGCTCCGCTTTCGGCTCCTGATTCGGGCGTTTGATGATCAGGGTGACTTTCCGACGTTTGAGGCTCGGGGTTTTGGGCGGTGTCGGTGGTAGCGACGGGGTCTCCGCTTTTTTGCGCTTGGCTGCTCTGGTGGGTTGAACGCGTGTTGGCGTTGGCTTATCCGGGGATGGGGATGGTGTTTGGAAGATTTCAGGGTTCTTGCGGCTTGGTGTGTTAGCCCTTGAAGCCCTTGACTTCCGGGGATGCTTGTTTTGGAAGTCGGAGTACTCCGAGTCCGAAGGGCTGTCAGCAGAGTCGGACGTTGAGCGGTCGTCAGACAAGTCCATGTCGTTGGAGTCAGAGGTGGCGGCAAGTTTGCGCCTGGTGGCCCCTGGCCTTGTCATCGCCGTCGGCCTGGTCATGATCTTATCAAGTTCCTTCTCCTCTTTCCCTTTCTTTCTCTGTTTTCGACAATCGTCAGTCAGTCATGTCTGTGATCACTGCCGCCTTCAGTTAGCACTCACCTCACTCTCAAACCGCTGTCGGTGCAGCAACCGATCAACCTCGGCTTTATACCAAGCCTTCACGCGCTTGTAGAACTCGCTTTCGTTCGGGTAGATGGCGCCCCGCTTGAGAGCACCCAAATCGTGCTCAAGTGCTTCCTCGCTGAAGAAGTATTTGCCGATGGGCAGGATGGTCTTTGCTGGGCCGCCGTGGCCTTGCTTGCATGGAGGGATGAGACGACAGGCGTGGTGCCTGATAGCTTTTCTTTTGGTCTTGGGGGATGTGGTAGTGGTCTTGTTGGTGGTTCGAGGGGTAGGAGAGGTACGAGGGGTGTTGATTTTGATTTTGGTCTTGGGGGTAGAGGAGCGTTTTGGTTTTGGTGGCATGTTGGGAGACGTCGGATCTGAGTGCGAAGTGACTCAGGGGGGTGGTGAGGGCAAGTGGTGGATGGTCTGTAATGGTTTATGATGATCTCGACCGGGCAAGTATGCACGGCACAGGTATTTTGGGATACGGAGATTTCTGAGGCAGAAGTGAATCGGGGGTGGTGAGGATAAGTGGTGGATGGTTTGTGATGGTTTTTGTTTGAATCTCGGCCGGGGAAGTGTGCACGGGAGAGGTATCAGTTCCGCAGATATGGACTCGATCAATCTGCAGATGACTGCAAAGTCAAATGTGTAATGCAGCTCGGGGACCGCAAACCTGAAAATTGCATGAACGTATTATGCCAGAGCTGGTGGGAGTAGAAAAAGAAAATGAGCCGACCGACCCCCGAGACCTCCATGTCATTGTCACATCTTGTTCAAGAAGCCATCAGATATCAGTCATCAAAGGGTAGATTACCAGATGTGCGGTGCACAAGGAAGAAATGGGTCCAGTCGAGATGCGGCACTCCGAATGAAACAAAGAAATGGAAGTATCACCTTTAGAATCCATTGCCATGAATTAAAGATCTGGGCCCCCAAGATTATCGTGGCTTTGTCTCCTGTTTGGTTCTCATAGCTTGCCATATCCGGGGTGGTGGGCGGCGGCAATCGGTACGAACCACATCGTCTTGGAGAGGACCGATAGGACTCGAAGGCGCAAGTTCTACTGCAAATTTGTAGACGCCTATCGTGCACATCAGATGAAAACCGATCGAAAAAGTAAAATATCATCCCCCGAAAAAAGATGAAAACACTAGATAATCTGGTTGTAGCATACAAGTTCAAACATCTGTCCCGTCTCATTGAATAGCTTGGGTGGTGTCAAGGTTATGCAGATACCCACAATAAAAGAACAAGGTTCAGCCCTGACTCTCAACAACACGCAACCAAGCAACTGGCTCAATGGTCTAGTGGTATGATTCGCGCTTCGGGTTAAATCACCCTCATGGTATCCCATGAATGTGCGAGGTCCCGGGTTCAAATCCCGGTTGAGCCCCAACTTTTTGACCTTTTGACCTTTTTTTTTGACCTTTTTTTTTGGCCTTTCTTATTTTATTCAATTTTGCATGGTGGCCTCTCGTTGCTCACAATGTGTTTTATTATGTTTTCTTGAACTTTTTGGTCGAGTATTTTGAGTTGTTATTTATTGACTGAGAAGATGCGGTTGAAGGAAGGTTGGTGGGTTGGTTGTTGTCGCGGCAGGCGCAGGCGCCGTAAATTTGTGTTCTGGCTCACTATGAACATGATGGGAAGTGGGAGGAGGCAACCCCCGCCCAATCCATTTCTGGTATTTTTCTTTTTCCATTGCTTTTTCCTCTCTCCTTTTGTCATCACACCTTATCTTTCCTTTTTGCTTTGTCCATCCAGTTCGTCGTGTCCGTCAAGTTGCATGTCGGTCGGGGTTAGTCAGCTAGCATACACTGTTTGGGCATCGTTATGCTTTTTACACAATGTTCACTCGCTTCATTTTCCTAACCAGCGCAAGGTTTTATCTATAGTGGAAAATTTGTATACAGCGATTTGGACTTGGCCAATATCCAGGGGTAGCTATCTATCATGAGCTTTTCTTTAGGGTGCTTAGAACAATAACGAAAAAGCCTGATGCCACTGTCTGTGCATTTGCCGATCGAGATACGAATGGTTTGTTTGTTCTTTGTATGTAGTAGTTCAAGTGTGTGAGGAAATGATTAGTATCATCTGTCTGGTTGTAGGGGAGAAATGCTGCAGACTAGACTAGGCGGCCGGGTGACCATTTGCGAATTTCAGTCTCGTCACTCGTGCCGGGTAGAACAATCGTCGACAGCGATAGGCGAGCAACTCGGTTTTTCCCGGTCGGACGTTCAATGAATAGTGGTAGAAAAACAAGGAAGCGCAAGAAACGAGAGTGAGAATGAAATCCGAAAGCAGAAACAGTGAAGCCAGTAGATAAATCTGAAGCCTCACCAGGTGAGGAGACCGGCGAAGGCGTTTCTAGGTAGGTAGGTATGCTCTCAGACTTCGGCTGGGAAGACACTCGTCGATTAAACCACGATACGCTCTTTGATGAGTTGAGAAACGCATGACAGTAACTTCGGAACAGTTATGAGAACTGATTGTGCGTTTAAGCGGCAAAGAACAGGAGCTTTCCTGTTATGATTAGCAAGTGACGAAGTTGAGTTTTATTTTTATACAAATGCCAAGACATGCCATGAATTGGTGATGGCTTCAACTGACAACCGCTCCGGCAGTGCCATCAACGGGGGATGACCGAGATGCGGCCACCATGCTGAGCGGAGTGAAAATGAAATCTCAGGTTAAGAAAGTGTTCAAGCCACAGCGGAAATTTAACAATCCATCCAACCTTGTTCAATCTTCTTTGTGTTCGATCTATTCTCGTCCTTAAAGAGACATGTACGTCCCATCCATCCAGTCTCCCAGTCCCATCCAATCCCCGTCCCGTCCCGTCCCTGGGTATCCCGTCTCCAATAGCTTCGTAATCCCGATGTGTATATAGCAGTAGGTATATCTGTCATCATCATCATCACTCCAACCCCATCCTAACCTCATCACCAAACCCCCAACTACCTGCATCTTTCCCAGCATCCTGCAACGCCAACCTGGTTTGCGTGCCAAACGACGACGCCACCTCATCCTCCTCGTCGGTCTTTGCCGCCATCAGGATGGATTGTGGCGATGGTGATGATCCCCTTGCCGTTGTTGTTGTTGTTGCCGTATTGCTATTGCTTACGGTGTTGCTGTGACTCGACCTCCTACTCCTCGCGTAAAAATTGTTATTACCACTGTTATTATGAATCGTTTTTCGACTGGTACTGCTACTACGGCTCTGACTTGATGGAACGGATAAAGAGTGGGAGGAGGAGGGCGTGGTAGTACTGGGGCTCTGTCCGCGATCACCACCACCTGCATGACCGCCGCCGCCGCCACCGGAGGAACTTGCTGACGGGCTGCCGGTGGTGGCGGCGGCAGTGGTAGAGTCGGTGAAGTTTCGTCTTTGCTGTCCTCCGGAAGAAGAACCACCACCACCACCCCGGATGCTAACAGCGCTGGAAGCACCTCTGGTCGGCGACTTACCGAACAAAGCACTAGAGAATCTGTGGGACCTACTAGTACTTGACGTGGAAACCACCGAATCGGTATCGTCTCCTCCTTCTGTTTCTGCGTCTTTGTCTTTGCGGAGTTTATCCTTCATATCCATCCTGCTTTTCGTCATATCCTGCGCTTGTATCCTTGCTAGGCTGTCGGCCGCGCTTTCGGGTGTTTTCTTCAGCTTTATCGACGCCTTTCTAGGGACGGTGGTAGAGGGTGAAGCGATCTCGCCCGAAGCGGCTAGTTGATCCGAGAGCAACGATCGGGGTTGTGCCCGGGCACCTATCCCAGGTCCGGGCGCCGGGGTTGCGGTTGGTGTAACTGAATCGGTACTGGAGTTGCCGTTGGCGGATCCGTCCACAGTAAGGTTATTCCCCTGTTGGTCGACCATCGCATCCTCTGCCAATTCTTCGATAAGGGCATCGTCTGCTTCCACAAGCTCGGCATCGCGGTACCACTTTCTCCTTCTTGTCCAGCGGCCCCAGCCATCTTGTCCTCGGCGGCCATTTTGCCACTACGCCTTGGTTAGCCCGATGTCCCAGTTTCTCTCCATCTTCGTACAAATATCTCCCAAAACGGAAAGAACAAACCTTGTTGTCATAATAAACCCAGCCCATACGTCCTCCGGGGCTGTCATAATCCCACTCCTTTCCATCCGCATCTTCTCCAGGCATAACAGCCTCGTCGGGTACTCCATCGACCCGCCACCTCGATCCCTCGACCCAGCGCCAGCGCATGTTGCTACCATCCTCGACCTCCGGCAACTCAAACTGGTCTCGCGGTGGAACTGCATTGTTATGTTCGTCGGTCCATGCTGGCCTTTCATACGCAAACAAACTAGTAGTCCATCCCAGACCGACCCACCGACGCTGGTTCTCGTAGATGATGAACGTAAAACGCACGCCTGTATCGTGTCCGCCGCGGGCACGCCGAAGGGCCTTGGTAAGCTCCGACTCCTGCGAGTTGTACGCCTTTGAACTCTTGGTGTTGGCAAAGGTCTTGTTCGCTGAACTGCCGCTAGCAGTGGATGCAGCGGAGGATGCAACGCCATTCTTTTCAGCAGGAGAAACTTTGACAGGCTTTTCGAACTGCAAGCCAGTAACCAATTCCAAAAACCTGCGAATGGAAGCGCTGCGCCACAGAATGGCGCGAGATACCCGCATAATACGGGAATGCCACGTTAGGATGAGAGTACCGAAGATCATGATAACCCGGCGAGTAGTGATCAGACGGAAGGGTGGTAGCGTCAGGGCGAACCAGAACGGGGTACAGAGAAGGATTCGGATGAAAAGTGTCGTCAGCGCGGGTTTCGTAGTGGCCGATGTAGGTGTTCGCTGAGTGCTGAGGAAATCCGTGAGTTCCAGCATGGGTTCCAGTAGAATGTTGCAGCGCGCCGTGAACTCCTTAAGTGTCTCGACAATCTCGTCCAACGTCTTCTGGTGTCGCGTGTTTGTCACTTCGGATACCGACCCTTGATTCCTCAGGTGTCCGCCTCCTCCAGCGCCCGCTCCCGCGCCGCTACCGAGCCCACCATTGGCCTTGCCATTCTTGTTGTCCGGAAGCCCATCGACCGAAAGGTTCTTACTCTTGGGAGCCTTCTTGCCCCTAACACTCCCTTTTCCATCTGTCCCAGCTAGCGCCGCCATGTCTCCAGCCGCGACGCCTGGCTCGGTCCAGCCACTGCTGCTCAACGGGCTATAGCGCCGGCCGTACATGCCACCGATCAGGAGCAGGACAAGCACAACAGGCCCGGCGACCCGCACAATGATGTCACCATATAGGACCGCAGCCCAGAAGACGGCGACCATCAGAAAACTCTCCCACGGATCGCGAGTCGTCCATGTTATCAGACCGGCAAGCTTATTCAAGGGCAGGAGGAACGGATGGCTGTAAGCCAAAGCGCGTGTAATCTGGGGTGGTGTCGCGAGGAGGAGCGGCGACTTTTGGTGTACGAGGATGGTACTTCTCCTCTTGGCGGCGGAGGTTGCGCTGGGCGCGGTCGAGCTCAGGGTGGCGGGCGAAAAGGAGGCATGGGTCGGGTTCGGACTGCTCGCGGCGCCATCGTTCGAGTATATGATGCCTTTCGGCTGGTTCGAAGGGGTGGATGGGTGAGAGTTCAGCGCATCGCCGCTGCGCTGGGGTTGAGGGGCGGACATGTGCGAAAGCCAGGGAGGATCCTGTATGTTTGGGACGGAACTGTCAGTCTTGTTCTGTCTAGCTATCCCTAGCTGGAATGGTGATGCATAAAGAGGAGCGGCGCAGCATGGTCGGAGTGTGGAAGCTGTGTCGCGTTGGATGTAGCCTAGATGGAAGGATGACGATGGCTGTGGTTGTGGTGCTGATGATGATGATGACGACGGGCTGGATTGGGAGCTCTGGTGCTGATTCGGCGGCAGCGGGGATCGCCGACAGACCTTTCTATTTGAAGGTGATCGCTGGCCAGGGGGACCTGGCAGGCAGGTTGCCTAGTAATGTTTGGGGATGGCGGATCGATCTTCAACAGGACAGATGGCGACTATCCCTTCGTCGGGAAGATGATTGTTGTCTGGCGCAACCTACGCCGTATAGTAGGTGGCGATGGTGGCACAGAGAAGGAAGATAGAGAGGATAGGGATATAAGGGGACGAAGCAAAGAGCCCGTAGGAGTAGTATTCAGGTATGTAAGAAAAGGGCAAAACTCACGAATGCAGCCATTAATCAGGAGCAGCCGCAGGTGTAGGAGGAGGAGGAGGAGGTAAAAGAAGAAGGATGACGACGATGATAACTGATGGTGATAGTGGTCGTTTGTGTTGTGTCGGCTCTCCGCACGCAAGCCCAACGGTATCGGTAGCACGCGCCCATGAATGGCTCCTTTTCGTCTTAGCCCAACGTCATAGGCTGCGAATATGTGCGCCCCGACCGTCTTCCCCA